CAAGTTCCCCCACTCAGGGTGTTTCCTTTGCAGTTTATGTTACTAGCTCTCACATTACAGTGCCAGTATATTTCTCTATGCCCAGGGGCATTTATAGGCTACCTAAACTCCCGGTGTCCTCCTTCCAATAGGCAGCAATAAGTCTGAATCTCCTGCTCCAGCCGGCATTTGACATCCAGGAGGGCCTTGTACTCTTGGTTCTGGCACTCGATTTCTGCCCGCAGCTCAGCCAACTGCTGCTCCACACAGATGATCTGGTTCTGTAACTGGGCAAGTTGGCTGTTGTAGCGAGATTCGGTTTCAGCCAGAGAGGACTGCAGATTGTCCCTCTAAGAATTGACACAAACACACATAGGCACTAGAATCATACACTGAATTTAGGCCTTCAGGGATGCAAAAATTAAGAGATTCCCCATGCAACAATAAAACTTCCCAAGACCTGTCGAGAGCCAAGCTAGAACAGATCACCCACCATCCTAGGCATCCAGGCATGACTTGTTCATAGGTTTGATGTAAATGGTCACCCCAGGACTTACCGTCCTAAGGTTGGCCTCCAGCTCAATCTCCAAGGACTGTAGTTCACGTCTCAGTTCAGCGACCTGACTGTTGCTACACTCTATCTCCTTACCGCTTGAGATGACCTCCTGATTCACCTCCTCAATCTGAGAAACACAAACCCAGAACAGAGATAATGAAAATCTTTCTTTTAAAAAAATAAAATACAAAGTAAGGTGAGTTTAGTGTTAATGGATGAGAATAGATAATTAACAAAATATGTAAAATGAACAAAAGCAATGTGATTTCTCTGCCTACTGGAACATAAACCTTGCTTGCAATTCTGTTGCTATTCAAAAAATGCGCTGTGCAATTTATTAATCAGTCTCTTTTGTTGTAACGGATGGTTCTGCATATCACTTCACCCACACACCTCAATGACAAGCAGCAAACCAGGAGACATGTGTGATATTCACTTAGGCCTCTGTGTCCTTTGCCACTTGATCAGACTGAATAATATTGACTAAAATTAGCACATTGAATTTAACATACCTTACATGCATACCAATCCTCAACCTCTTTCCGGTTCTGTGCAATGATAGCTTCATACTGGCATCTCATGTCATCCAAGATTTGCTTCAGATCTGGACCAGGGCAGGAATTGACCTCCACACTGACATCTCCAGTTGACTGGTTCCTCAGACAATTCATCTCCTGCAAAGATAGATCCAGATCAAGCTGTTTTTCAAAGCAAGTGGAGACAGTATGGTGCTGTTTTTTGTGACATGTAAATCTAGTGAAGTTTAGGCTGAGGTCCACCTCTGGCATTCCCAGTTCCTCTCTACAGTGCATTTTTTCCCATCATAAACCCAAGAGAGTGAGGCAGGTGTGGCTCACTTCCAACCTAAGCTCCACAGTGAGAAGCTCAGGACAAAGGGAGCTGGGAGTGCTTTTGCATACAGAATAGTTGATCTCAAGGAATTAAGGAGCTCCACCTAGGTACTGTGTTGCTTTCTGTCATGTAGCAAGCAGAAGAGGCATGCTGTGGTAGCCAGCTTGCACATTACTCTTTTTCATAGGTTTTAATGGCACATGTTGTCACCACAACTACTCTATTTGTCAGTGTCTTTTTTGTACACTGAATGCTGTCAGCCTGTTTCTACTACCAGTTTTTTCTCTGAGGGAATCATACTGAATGAAAGAACTCTCTTTGACAACGAGGTCATTTACTAGTCTACATTCATCACCCTATGTTGACTTTTTAAATATCTTTCTCCTTTCAAAAGAATACATGAAGTGTTGTGTGGGGTCAAACCAATGGTCTGCCTAGCCTATTATCCTGTTTTTGGCAGTGGCAAGTAGCATATGTTTTAGAGAGACAGTATATGAATAGGAAATATCCAGAATAATCCATTTTATGTCATACCCTTCCTGCCAATGGCCAAAACTTGCCTAGGGATGTCAGAGGATACATCCCTGACTGTTCTATTTAGTAGCTCTTAGCGGACCTGCTCTCCGTGAATCTGTCCAATCTCTTTTTGAACCTGGGTTATATTAACTGCCTTTACAGCCTCCTATGGCAATGACTTCCACAAATTAACTATGCAATGTGTAAAAACATACTTCCTCTGGCTTGTTTTAAATTGGCCTCCTGACCATTTCAGTGGGTGCTCCTAGTTCTAATCATTCTTAGTTTTGAAATGCAGCATTACATTTCAGTGGTTGGATGTGGAGATCCTAACTTTCACTTCCTGAGGTTGCTGCTGACTTGAATGATCTTGAGCAAGTCATTTTACTTCTCTCTTCCTGCGATAACTTCACAATGAAGTGAATACGCCTACCTCCACAGGGATAGGGTTTTGTTAATGCTCATTAATTGCTAGTAAAATGTTTGGAGTTCTGCATTTGCTAAACTACAAGCCATGCACAAGGAGTAACAATAAGAAAGATTATTGTTAACTAAAACAGTACCCTGAAGTTTTCTGCAGTGGCTGCACTCTACTACTGTTCTAGTCAGAGTACGATCTGATTCTCTGCCTGACAAGGGCAGGATCCTACCTCCTCATGGTTCTTCTTCAGACAGCACAGCTCCTCCTTCAGGGCTTCAAGCTGTGCCTCCAGGTCAGATCTGCAGAGAGTCAGCTGATCCAGGACTTGGCGTAAACCATTAATATCAGCCTCCACACTTTGGCGAAGGGCCAGCTCAGTCTCATACCTAAATCATGGGCAAGAAAAAGGAAAAAGTTAGGGTTACCAACCCTCCAGGATTGCCCTGGAGCCTCCAGGACTTAGATATAAATCTCCAAGAGACTCCTGAGAATCACCCAGAGATAAATGATAGGGCATTCATTAAAATAAATATTAAATGTTGAATCCAATTTATACAGTAGTTATCCAGTGGATATTTAAAATGTAATAATAATGTGCATTTGTTAAAACCCGCAAAAATGCCATCTGTCCCAGCTTGAAACTCCTAATAATACCTCTTTGGAGAATGTCTTGTTTGAGTAGGATGCGGAGGAAAGGAGAGAAAATATGAATGAGGGTTTGTATAGCATAGAGAAGCACTCACTTCATTCGGAAGTCATCACCGGTCATCCGGCTGTTATCAATGTCCAGAATGATCCTGTTGTTATCAACGGTGGCACACACAATCTGAAAGAGAACAGATTATGAAGTTTACAGTCCTGCAGGCTCCTCACTGTCTTTGGTTCAATGTCTCAACATAAATTTTGGCTACTGTTGCATTGCCCAGACTTTTCTTTCAGTTTATTTTCTGTTTCTTTTTGGGGGGTGGAATAAATTTATATTACTCCCTTATTTTTTACATTCATGCAAGAAGTAAGTACAGACAAGTTGAGTATCAAAGACAAGTTTGTGAAATGCAGTATGTGAAATGAATTCATATGTAAAAATATACTGATCCGGAGAAACTTGTAATTAAGGTAGGTGCTGGGTAGCACTATTTATAACATGCCTCAAATTTGCAAGTACAGAACACACTTTTCATTTTAGAATTCATCATTTCAGGATATTAATTATGTCCAGATGCTCTAATTACAGATTTCCTGTTTCTTATGACCAGTTGCTTGGTTTTTCTGAGCAGTCTGACTCCCCTACACTGCCTAAAACCTAATTTGGAATTACCTAATCAAAAGTAATAAAAGCTAACCAGAAAATGTTATCTTTTAGGTTTCTTTTTTTAGAAGAGCAATAGTTCTTTATTCTGTATGGATGTGTACATTTTGTTGAAACAGAAATAAGATTTTAAACTAGAATTCTGGAAAACTCATGACAGCACTACGTGCAATGAAGCAGATAGCATACTTGATAAATTAATATCTCCATCAGTCTCTTTCTTGAGCATTAATTTATCAAAACAGCTTGAGACAAACTTCATTCAGAAGGACTTTCTTCAGAAGGAGCAAGCAAAGATTGTTCCCTGTGCCTACCTTAACAGAAATCTAATCATGAAAAAAAAGAAAAGAGCCATTTTCAGTGCATTTAACTTGCAATGAAGAGTTTTATACATGCAGTTTTCTTAGTATATATCTGCAAAGAGCACTGAAACAGTGAAATGTTGCTTCTGAATACCAATGTCAGGATTTGAATACAAACTCATGGAGAAGCCTTTACAGCAGCTGAAAAAAGGAGGTCCTACCTGGTTTTGAAGATCTTCTATTTCCCTGATGTAGCAGCTGTAGTCCCTTGGCTCACCTTGGTGGCCATGCTTGGCATACCAGTCCCGAATCCTGCACTCCAGTTCAGCGTTCTCTTCCTCCAGGCATCTCACCTTGTCCAGGTAGGATGCCAGGCGGTCATTAAGGTTCTGCATGGTTATCTTTTCATCACAGCAGAAAAATAGGCCATCGCCCCCAGAGCCCCCAGAGCCTCCCCCAGGAACTATGCCACCACCGAGGCCACCACCAAAGCCACCACCAAAGCCACCACCAAAACCACAATCAATGGGACCTCCAAAGCCACTAACACCCCCAGCACCACCGCCAACACCAAAACCACCACCACCCCCAAAGCCACCACCAAGGCCACCACCAACACAGGAGCTGCCACTGCTGAACCCAACGTTTCCTATGCTGCATAGTCCTACAGCTCCTCCATAACTTCCACCAGCTAAACTACCAGTACTCATCCCTCCTCCATAACACCGTCCACCACCAAAACTCCTGGCAGAAAAACCTCTACTGCTGCCTATCCCTCCAGAGATGCTTTTTCCAGAAGAAACTGATGAAATCCTTGCTCCCCCACCGCCTCCACCAGTGCCATAGCTACCACCACTGCTCTTAGCTGAGCTAGAGACAGTAGTAACTGCTCTCTTGATTCTACAACTCATAGCCACAGCAATTAATTATCCAACCCAAACCCAAAAGCAAGAGGCAGAGCTTGATAGGGAATCAGACTGCAGATTATCTGCCCTTGTAGTTCTTCATTTATACCTTACACAGTGGGTGTCACAAGGAGGGTGTTTCTCCTTCCCATGGGGCTGACTAGTCTTGCTGTTTCTGCCAAGAATAATTTCCCAAAGGCAGCTTCCCTCCAGAAATCCCAGTACACAAGAAAGATGCTTTACATATCAGCAATATTTTTTTATGAATCATCAGCTTTTCTTTATGATGAAATCTTCACACTAACAACGAAAACAAGTGTCTGGAAGATACGGGGATACACTGGATTATACAAGGAATAATTCTTTAGTTAGAGCTTGTTGAATCAACAAGTTCTTAACCTATTCTTAATTTATTTAAATTAATTTTGTTTCTGACAAACACTTTTTATATGAGGTACTGGTATTGGGAAACACAAGGTCAAAATGAATTAAGGGAAATGCAGTGTCATATTCTGGAGAAATCAAAAGTATGATGTAATTACTATGGAAGGGTCTCAGATACTGTGGTATAAAAGTAAAGTCCATCCAATATCCCTATAATGGACCCTTGCTCCAAAATACTTCTAAAAATAAGGAGGTTTTCAAACCATGGGATAACCTCTGGAAGGAAGTAGTGTCAGGGTTCCCAAACTATGCTCTGTGGATTGGAGAGGAGAACTTGCTGGTGATCTGGCCAGAGCTTGCTGCTTAAAAGTTGCTGACTCCTCTTTCTCCTTGTTTTCAGTTGTCCAAGGACACCAAGATAAACTAACACCTTATAATCTATTTCCTTAATGCTGCTTTTCAAGTAAAGTAAATGTTGTAGTTACCACCTGGTAGTTACATGATTTTGAGCGGAAACTGTCATAATCTCTGCAGTGGTGAGTGAGTTGATGTCTCCATGGACAACTTCCCTATTGATAATATGCTGCTTGGTATGAAAAGGTCTGGGAACCTCTGGCACAGAAGACATAACATAAAAGTGGACTGTGGATCACACTAGAAGAGGAATGGCTGTAAAGCATTTCCCTTTTGTCTACAGGGCATGGACAAGATGTGACCTAAGAGAACTTTTCCATTGCCAAAGAGTAAGACTCTGGGCTGAGGAAAGAAATTAGGCGTAAAAAGAGCCTCCACAGTTCTGAACTGAAAAGGTCTTAATGGTAATTGGGGCCAGTACAGTCTGGTTGGCTCTGGGAACTTGGGCATTATTGCTGGTACAATATACAGGCTAGAGCCGTCTGTGGATACTGGAAATATCCAAAAGAGAGTTATTTTTGTTCAAAAGGTCATCTTAGTCCAGGAGAGTCTTTTCAGTACATACTGGTGCACACGTTCTCTTATGAATGGAAATGTACAAGTTGCTATTACTGTAGAAGTAACTGGTCTCTGCCTCACATACACCCAAAAAGCACTGTACAGGGATACTTGTTAGGAGCCCTCATTTATATTGAGGGTGACATCTAACGGAGAAGAAAAGATGTCAGCTACCCTCTAGAGAGATGTCCTCCTTGTCAATGAGTCAGAACCAATTATAACCAGTCTAAACCAGTCTGCTTTAGAGTTCATACTGACCTTCATGAGCTTTTGTTCCTAAGGTGCTGGCAGCCTGTACTTGCCGAATTAGGAGCGGTGGTTCACTCTAAAATGGGATCCTGAATTCACTGATTTATGTTGCCTGAATGAGAAAGACTGTCTGTGCCTGTGTCTGTGTAGGAGAGGGAGGAGAGAGACAGAGATTTACCAGAGTGAGATAGAAAATGCTCCTGAAAGTGTTTACTGCTACACTCATCTAATTTTCCAATTCCTGCTGGTAAGATTTCAGAAGAAATTACCCAAAACTGTCTCCAGAAAATAATGTTTCTGAAAGAGCAAACATTCCTTTTCCTCTCTCTAAGGCATTGGTTTAAGGGGCAAATGTGAAAACTTACCTCCCTGTGGCAAGGGAAAGTGTTTGCCTTCCTATCTTAGCAATTTCCTGATGGACAGAAAGGATGGACCGTAGTCCACCAACATAAACTGGTCAATTGTAAGGGTTTAGGCACATTCAGTGGACCCAGGTGAGGTTTCTATAAATGTCCTGCCCATCCACCTCTGCCAGATGGCCTTACAAAATTGTCCATTTCATGTGCCTCATTTTTATTCCACTTGTTACTATTTCTGTTCATGTCATTTTTCTCTCTGGGAAGTGGGCGAACTGTTTTGCAAAACAAAATCAAATGAAACGAAACAATCTTACTAAACATTCCAAAATTGTCAAATAAGGTTTTTCACCTTTTTGATGTTTAATATTGTGCACACTTGGACGTCATCCAGACAAGCAGGGGCATGTGGCTTGTGGCTCCACAGTCCTCTTTGTGGCGCCACAAACCACATGTGTGCACTGTGAAAGCGTGCTCCACACTGCAAATTTGCAGCCCAGGGGCAAAATTTGCTACTGGAATTTCCTGGTGGCAAAAAAAAGCACTAGGGGGAAAAGTGTAGGGCACGCTACAGTAGCATTCACCAGAATGAACTGAGGCTTGGTCCTCCAGTGAGACACTCTGGATGCTGGCCAGAGTATCTCTATGCTCCATTTGTGTTCCAGCTGTTCCAGCACAGCAGGAGCCAGGAGGAGTTGGGCAAGGGCACTTTGTGTCCCACAACGAAGTGTTCGTGCAGGGGCATGCGCTACAGTACAAAACAGTGACACAAATTTGTGCTGCTACTACTTGTGCTGCTGCAAGTGCATACTGCTGCTCATCTAGACACAGTCTTGAGCTCTTTGGTGCCAGTCTGATACTAACCCAGAAACAATGAAAATCTCGTAGGAATACCTATACTCATGGGATTTCCAACCCAAATTCTGCAGATGCAGGATATTTTTATAATACCAGAGAGGATCCTAGTAACGTTGCAGCCCATTCAGATGCATCTCATCTCACATGTGCACAAGCTGACAGAGCAATCTCTCAGCAGCTGAGATTCAGAACCACCTGCACATGTACCACAGTATTGGGATTGCTGAATTAATCAGAGTCTTTGTGGCATTACTTTTCTATTTTCCTTAAAACCTCAGACTAAAAATGGAGGGGACCTTTTACTGTCATGATCCCTCCTATCTCACACAGCCACATCATATAAGCCTATTCATTCAGAAGCTGATCAAGATCCATCTTAAACCTACTTAACCTTTCTGCCCTCACTACTCCAACTGAAAGGCTGTTCTGGAGCCTCTCTGCCCCATTTTACTGCCAGTTATACAGACTATACAGCTTTTACAGTATTCAGTGACTGCATGCAAGCCATGGTTTGTATCAGGCCTTTCAATGTCCTTTCCCCCACTTGGAGTACCATCTACCTGTCAACATCTCCTTTATGGCATGCATGAACAGAGGTCCATCAGCTGCACTTTGACTGTTCTAGCAAAACCTTTGCAATTTTGCAATTAGCTGAAAATTCCAATCCTTGATATTCAGACTGCACCTTGGACCAGGCACAGAAGTACAATTTAATGTTCACCAGTTATATAGTTAACCTCTCCTCTGCCTGACTGCAAACTAGCCTTTGACTTCAAAACTTTCATCTTCATGCTATTTTTCCACAACAAACAGTGCTGGTGTGGTACAATCCCCCACACATTGGGTTTTTTTATTTATTTATTGCCATTACTCTGGCACCATGTGTAAATGAAACGGAAGAGCCTAAGTCAGGAGCCAAGGCCCAACTGTTCTAAGCTCTGTAGAAATGCAGGGTGTAAAGGTATCCCCTACCTCCAAAAGACCTTGCAATCTCTGTATGAGACAACAGACAGCAGAGTGGATACAGACAGACAGGGGGAAACAAGAAAACAATGAGAAGTTAGTCAGTATGGGTGCGTCTATGCATTCATTAAAGTGTGGTGCCAACTGCACATTAGATTTAGTATTCATATAATCGAGTACTAAATAAAAGTGCAGTAGGGTGCCGTACTGCACATTAACATGATTGCAAGCTTTGTATGTGACAGTTAATTCTCAGCAGACTAATACTACTGTGTATTAGCCTAACAGTATGGTTTTTGCTGTGACACTGTAATGCGCAGTCTATCAGTCTACAGCACGTTAAGCGTCTCGTGTTGACGCATCCAATGATGTATAGCAGTCTCAGCACACCAGAAACCACAGGCAATATTTTCATAAGTCATATGATACGAGTTTTAAGAAGGGATCAAAAGGAGGACAACAAAGTAGCTTTGTGGATGTTTATAGGGAACTGCTATCAAAAGTGAGGGGCAGCATGGGAGAAAGCAAAAAAGTTCTTGCTTGAAAGCTAAACAATTGGGTTTTGGAGATGGAAAACATGGGCTAACTGTGACGGTCACAATGTGCAGAGATCTTCTTGAGGATGTACCCACCCCATTTCTTACCTTGTCAGGTTGTTATACTTATCAAAAGCTGGCTAAAGCAGTGTTTCTCAACCTTTTAAGTAGCAAGTACCCCCTAAGTTCTGAAAATTTTAATAAGTACCCCAACATTCAATTTTCCAGGGGATTTTATATTTACAGACTAATGTGTGCCATATGTTGGAAGAAGGGCTGTGTATATAAGGCAGTGATATGACAGATATCTGATCTGGTGTGGGTAGGGTTGCCACCTTTTACACCAGGGGTGCACAACTCAAGTATGTACTGGGCTAGAGGTGATGTTGGCTAAAGCTAGGAGGGCTGAACCCAGTGCCACACAAAGCACGACACACCAAATTATTACTGGGGAATTTAAAGTGCTGCGCAATGCGCAGTGCACCACATTTTTTGCCATAGTTTTGAGAGGAGGAAGGGGAGAGACAGAAAGAGGAAAAGAGGGCAAGAGAGAGAGAGTGTTGGGGTACTCGCATACCCCCTGCCTGTGTCTCGCATACCCCAGAGGTACGCGTACCACAGGTTGAGAAACTATGGGCTAGAGAATATCTTCATGTGTACTCTGTGAGAAGGGTGTGTTCAATCCAGTAAAGCATTGTTTGTGTAAGTGTTGCTTCAGTGATGCTTCTGCAACCTTGTTAAACATGATTTTATCTTGTCACTTGCTGTAATTCTCTTTTGTAATTTGCATAATAGTTATTAGGCACCATTTATTAAATGCTCTAAGATCTTTGATGTGCAAAGAGGAAGTAAGATGAAAATAATTGCTGCATAATATATATGGACTTTCATGTTTTTGCATGTGTGTGACATTGGGCTGGCCCCAGACTAAGAACCCCCTCCTTTTAAACACAGATTAATTCTTTTCATCTGGCTAATGATTCATTGGTTTATAGTGACTGAATTTGATTGAATTCCTGTAAGGAAAGCAAAACAATTGCAGCAATGAGTTTAGCAATATCATGGACCGACATCTTAAATATACCTTCCGTGGCACTGCTTTGTACATTACTTTAGTTTCTTTCACGCTGACAGTTACCTGCAAACTATAAACTGTTTCAACCTGTTTACTGAAAAGGAAGTGGAGCCCCAGCAGAATATATTCAACAGGAGAAGATTGTCTCCCTACAGAAGTTTGCCATTCATGTCCTTGATTTATTCTTTGGAGAGTTTTAATTTGCTCACTGAGTCTGCAGATAATCAAAATGCAGTAACAAGTCCCAGAAATTACATCTTTGGTGGCAACATCAATCATCACTGCAAAGAAGAGTCTAAAGAGGCTTACATCAAACCGTATGGGAATACTGAAGAGTGAACGAAGTCACAGCAAATTCATCCTGCTGTTACATCTGTCATCCTGAGAGCTGCTTGCAGTGTGTGTTGGGAGAGAAAGAAGAGCTGTCACCTGCAGCTCTGCTCTGAGGTATTCTGGAACAAAGTGGGAAGCCAGAGGCAGAACTGGAGTATTTTAGGTACTTCTAACACCCAGATACCATTGTGATGGGTGCAATACAGACAAACAGACAGAGGTGTGTCCAATTCAGAGTTCCTTCTGAAAATATAATTTTATTTAATATCCTTTTACCTCTTTTCCACTTAAAATGCATTTAAGGGCAGTGATAATCAGACAGCAACTTCTAGGCCACAGATGTTTGCAAGGAAATGTTATCACAGTTCTTTCTACCTGCACTTGTTGGTTCTGTCTTTCATGCAATCAAGAATAATGCAGCACAACTGTTTGCTCTTTCTGACAGTCATGGTACAGAGAGTTAATTGGATAACTTCGTATTTCTTTTGAACTGGAGTGCGTTTTCTACCATTCACCTGCTGCTATTCTTTTGCTGCTGTGGCTCTTTGGTTAACACTGGGTGCATCTACAGGAGATGTTATGTTGCTGTAACATCAGTGGGCACAAACCATGAAGCTGATGCTACATCAGCATAGCAACAAGCTACAGTACAATAACTCTTCACTACAGTGACATAGTGTCCAAAAATAACCATACATGACCAGAACTGTGCAGTACTGGTGGGTACTGCACAGTCATTTAGTACTTGCAAGTACTAAATGACTGCACAGTACTAAATGCACAGTCAGGGGGCACATGTAGACATGCCCAGTGATTACTCACCTGGCCCCTGAACCAGTCAGGCCCAGAGAGTCACTGATGTAAGATATAAAAAGCATGTGACTACCTTACAGGGGGATATCTACATGAGATACTGCAGAGCTGACTAATTAGCTCTGCAGTAAACATCTCAGTGTCTACATGTGCGCCCCTATTAGGGCACAGGAAACTAATAAGCTCTGCAGCAGGGCAGTATTTGTAAATATAAGTACTACCCTGCTGTGGAGTTTTTTGTGCACAGCAGTGCACATGTAGTTGCTGACCTGGCTAGTTGGGGAACAAGGGTGCTTCAGTATGGAGGCTGCCTGCCAACTAGCACCCTTATGACCAGCCTGCCCCTCTGCAGCACAATAAGTCTGGTCAGAGCAGCCCTGGGCTGGCAGGCTAACCCCCAGGGCCTCCCAGTGGTTTTCAATGTATTTAGACTCAAGGAACTCCTCAGAAAATGCTAGTTCTTCACTTTCACTCATTTTTTACTATAGAAAAATAATAGGCTGCTGGGCACTAATGTTAAGAATCACTGATCTATTCTTTCTATCACAGTAGTATGGATGGATGCCACAGAGGTACAAGGCACTACTGTACTAGACACTGGACACAAAACAACATAAAGACAAAGCCTACCTTTGAAATCTCATTATGGAAGGGTTGGTAATTATATTGTGGTTTATCCTTATGTAATTCTTTATAAGTATTAGACACTATGCAATAAATAAGTGAAGAAAAACATAATTAACATGGCCACACCACAAAAGGTACTTTTATGGAGAAATGATAGTGCATGCCTCACACCATAAAGCAATCCAGCATCCAAAAAAATCTCGAATGTACCCAAACCCGTTTATCTTCTTACCACAGAAACAACTGACTTCCAACACTTTGCCAGCCAACTAAGGGGTTCTCCTTTCAACCACCTTATAGCTGCTGATCTTCTGTCCCCATAGAGATTTCTTTCCACTGATACTTGCACACTATATTCACTTCTGCTCCCCCATGTATGGGAAACCAAGCTTTTTTACTGCCAGGTTCCCAGTGATATTAACTCCAGCTACAGGCATCAACACTGACTGCCTCCCAAGCTCTGAAACTCCTCCCTTGGGCTCCACCCACATTCCTTACTTATTGCTACTCTGGCTCCTTCTATTCAACCTTTTCTGCCTTTTCTCATGCTGCCTCTTTTTCCAAAGGCACAAGACTTTACTAGTCCCCTTCTCTAAATCCATCTCCAAAACTTGCCCCCTTCAGCCTGAACCTCTGCCTCAGTTCTTGCACATGCCTGGCCAAGCTCCTCCTTAGCAGTGGCTAGAGGTGGGGGCAGGCTAGGCTGGGCACCAATCCTCCTGCCTGGGGCGTGGCTCAGTGGAAGCAGGGCCAGGGGAAGAGGTGCGCGCGCGCGCGCGCACACACACACACACACACACACACACGGGAGGGAGAGTATGATGGCCAGGAGGGTGGAGGAGGGCATTTCTAACTATTACAGTAAATAACAAGTGTTATTGCCTCAGAAATTTAATAAAAGAAATAAAAGCATTAAGTAAATGCTGAAGTTGCACTCAAATGACGGACTGCACTCTTGCTTTATGCAATATCTGCTCTGTCACCACAGTAAGCACCGAGTTTTCTTTTTCTGTTTAAAAATTGCAAATTGTCTCATAAAAAACCTGAATTCACTGATTAAAAAAAAACCCAAACCTGCATATTTCCATGATTAAATTGAAATGCCACTATATATATATATAGTTGTCAATTTAACACAATGTTTTATCGAATTATTTACAATCTCAAAGCAGTTTGGAAACCTATCAGTGCCTCAATCATTAGAATAAAATACATTTGAAATACCTATTTTTTTTACTTTTTTTTAAACAGAAAATCAGAGTTTCCCTGCCTCCTTTGCTCAACAAGATGGAGGTCCAGCTGTGGCTGTGCCCCCTGCCCCACTGCTTTGTAGCACTGAGCAATAGGACTGTGCAAAGCCTTCAGTAGCCAATTCAATTCAGAGGAGATTTGGCCCAATTCAGTGTCCAAATCTCTGAATCCAAATCAAATCGGGGGATCCATTAAAAGGTCTGAATCAAATCGGAAGCCTCCATATAAATTTAGAGAGATTCGGAGATTTGGAAGGCTTGCAGGAAATAGAAACTGGGAAGAGGGAGGGGGATGAGGTGATCTTCCATATATGGAAAAGGCTGAGGGGGTGGGAAAGATTGCTCTGATATTGACATCTGTAGCTGGCTAGTGACTGTGATCTTTCCCTGAGTTCCCTTCCCATCACAGTGCTCTGGGGAAGGGACATAGAAACAACATATCAAGTTGTGTCTGAAGTGATCTGTGCCTTTTGTGAGCTGTGTCTCTCTTGGAGCAGCAGCATCTGAAAGGCTCTGGCTTGCTATATAGTCTCTTGCTAGCTAGTCTCTCTTCTTGTACATTGAAGTCAATCCTTTCCTATTTACCCTTGCCTACAGTCCCTATTGTTATCCCTGTCTATTCCTTTCAACTTATTTTTCCCCCAAATCCTCTTATTTGTTCTTGTTAGTCTGTCTTGATTCTTTCCCCGCACAAAAAGAAATCTGTGTTTTTCCTGACTGTGTGTCATCACTATGCAAGAAAGAACAACATATATTGCACACACACATTTTGCAGCACACCAAACATTATGAAGCATAGTGGAAAGGCAGGTGCCAGGTCTTCTAGCAAGGGAGGGAGAGGGGGCAGAGGGAGAGCTGCAAGATCCCGCTGGCCCAAACATAGATGCACCCTCTTTCCTAGCAGTGATGAGTCTTCTGCTGCTAGTGGGAACAAAGAGGTGGTTGCAGTGCCTGCACCTGCACCACCACCACTAACACCACTAACCAGCAGCAGCATGACATTCTCCACCCCAATTTCAGTTCTCAGCATGAAACCTGGCAGGCCTCTTGCCCACATGAGGGGCTACCATCTCTACTGCATTCATCCCACTCTGTCTTAACACACACACAAATGATACGAGTTTTGCTTTCAAGAGTTTGAGGTGCACTTTCACAAAAAACCCTGACCTATCTCCTTGAAACATGGCAGACTTCATGCCCTCAAAAGGGGCTACCATCCCTGCTGATTGCATCTGAATCTGGAAAACAATGACAGTTATATGTATTTTAGTGATTCCCCATTATAGTCTATGGCCAAATCTCCAAATCGGCACCGAATCTCCAAATCCAAATCGGCCAACTTGAATTGGGACAGTGATTCGAATCACCAAATCAAATCACTGTCCCTCTGAACTGGCCAGATCCAAATCCAAATCAAATACTTGCTGCTTCACACAGGCCTACCAAGTAGCCCCAAGTGATATACCAGTGCCCTGCCCCTGCCCATGGCCATGCCCCTCAGTCCCATCTCCACTCCCCTCTGGGCTCTGCTGGTGCCCCTCAGCTGCCACCCACAGCCCCTGTCCCCCCAAGACCCTGCCAGGTCCCCTCAGTCCCAATCCAAATTCCCTACTCCCCTCTGGGCTTTGCTAGTGCCCCTTCCCCCAGCCACCCCGTCCTGTCCTGTCCTGTCCTGTCCCGGCTAGAGCAAGTGCAATGGCTGCATCAGTAGCTCCAGCTCCTGCAGGTGGTGGTGGAGCAACTCCATCCACTGCATGGCCTGGAGGGCGGGGGAAGGGAGGCCTGTGCACCCTCCACCCTAGGCAGCATCTCCCAGCCAACCAGGTTGTGCAGCTCCCCGCTGCCCCCTTCGTTCAGCCCCCATGCCCTGCTGAAGCCCCAGCACCCCACCACACACACACACCTTCCAGCTTACTTGTATCCAGGTGCTCAGCCAGGGCAGCTCCTATACCCTGCCTGGCTGTCCGCATCTGCGTGTGTGCACAGAGAAACACGGTGACTCCTGCCGCCCACCCCTCCCCCCATCCACTGAAGTGGTATCACATTCTCCATGTTTTTCTGCAATAAACTGAAAACTCAGATCTTGATTGAGAACTCAGGTCCCAATCATGCTTGCACTGGGTGTTCTGGGACCTGTAGTTCTACCTAGCGACAGCCATCTTCAAAACGGACTGGGAAGGAAATCCCAGACATTTTGCCTGCATTTAAATAACTCGCCCAGATGCAGCAAAGGGGGCCAAAAAAGAGGACATGTCCAGGAAAACCCAGACATATGGTAACCCTACTGCTGCTGCCATGTTGCAGGTTCAGTCTTTGCTGTTGCTGTTACCACATGGGCTTCTTAGGGGCCACTTGTCTGACCCCTCTCTCTTCCCCACCAAAAGAGTACTCAGGGCTGGTGCCCCACTCACCCTGTCTCACTAAGCTACTGCATCCCTATTTAAACCATCCCAGCCAAGTGCCTGCTCTCATGAACTTCCAAGGATGGAGATTCCAGTCATTAATAATGATTAAATAAAATACTAATGCTTTTTATTATGTGGATGAAAGCTTCTGAGCACAAGCTAAAACACAGGAAAAATTGAATCAGATCTAACGGAAAATGTAATAAACCCTTCTTCTTTTTTCTTCTTTCTTCTTCTTCTTCTTCTTCTTCTTCTTCATTATTGGTTATAAAACAAAAAGCATTCAGAGGCCCAGGCAAGGGAACAGGTTTTCTTTGTTATACTTGTACCCTGCTTACCTGGAAGGGTCAGCACAGCTCTGCTAACCCAGAGTCTCTTGGGTTTGTATGACTTCCAGATCTGAGTGTCCAGTTTGAGCCATCTCCAACTTGCAGACTTGGGTATTCAGAATTTTGTGACAATTAAGCCCCTTAAAGGTGTCTCGGGTTATGCAGCCAGTATCAGGTGCTGCTCTTGGAAAATGTAGGAGTCAGCGGTAGCAGGGTCTTTATGTTCTTGCCAAGCTGCATCCAGGCTATAGTTGGTGACACTTGCTTGCACTTGCCTGGTTATGTGCTGGTCCCTGTACCCGCTAAAGGTGGTGGCAAAATTACAAAGATTGCATAAAAAAGAAGGAAATATTTTTGTTGGAAACTGTTTATGAACAATGACAGCAGTTCCAAAGCTGTTCAGAGGCTTAGCATGTTCAAAGCAGCCCTTCCTGAGATGGATGTGTGGTCAGAAGTACATGGCAAAGGTTATATATCTTATACATCTGCAGCGTATGCAGAGTGTAAAGGTTTGATAAAAAAATACTTCTTGGACACAGGATTCTGGATGCATCAGTAGTAGCAGCGTTTTATTTGAGACAATTTTTTGGTGGTTAGCATATCACCAATCACAGCTCATATGAACACAAGTAAACAGCAGCAATTGGATAAGTACAGCATTACAGAATGGAAGAAGCAAGTAGCATGATAGGCAGAGAAGTGGCACCTCTGAATAGAAATGATAGGTCTTTCTGGACAGAGGGCTTCAGCAAAACTGAGTAAATATCAGGAGTATTTCTCGTTTGATCTTTCCCTACAGTTTGCCCTCATTATTGCCTTGGTCAGCCTCTCTAGAGGGCATGGAGTTAAATTAATCACATGTCCTTCTGCAATAACCTGTTCAGAGAGAGAGAAAGAACAGTAATTTTCTCTGAAAAGAAATAAAGAATCTGACTGTGTGGCCTCTTCATTCATTTAACAAAGAAACTGTCAGAAAGGTGGCTGGGAGCAAAAACATGTATGGTGGCAAGCTCAGCTGCACATCAAAACTTTAGCCTTCATCCTATTGCTTTTGGTATGCCCATAAAATAGGAACAGTTTGGGATCCCCAGACCACCTGCAAGAGAATGACTCTGATGCCTCTTCCTGCTCAATAAAAATGACAGAGCCTAGAGAAACAGCTCATGTTTCTGTGATAAGAAAGTGTTCTTCACCTTGTACATCCCCACCCTAGGAAGGCAGGGGTTAGGGCTGACAGGTGGGTTGACACATTGGTTGGCACACAGGTTGACACTGGGAAGATGGAGAGAAGGAGTGAGAAGATCGAAGTCCTCCAGTTTTTCCAGCTGAAGACCCATTAACTCCTCTTCCTACTGCTTCACTGAGAGAGAGGAAGGTTTTTTGGTGAATAAAAGAAAAAAAAACTCACTTTGTAAAAGAGAACAGAACCATGGGGCATTCAGTGCTTTTGTAAACAGTACTTTTATTTATGTGCCTCTGTAGGCATTTTGGAGTCTAAAATCAAGAGTCTTTATTTCAAATCTTAATTGATGAGAACCAACTACTTTGCATACAAAAGGAAGTGACACAAACCTCTGATTAAGTCTTTTCCTTCCCATGGGTCACAGGCTATGTCCACAGGATCCTCCAGGGACTCTCCTGGAGGATTTTTTTCAGAAAAATTGAAATATTTTTATAAGTTTGAAATAGCTCAGACAGATTTTAGCATTTCAGATTATTTTCCATTGGCAGTTCTTGATCCTGTCTGGCAGGGCAAATG